CCCAGGGCCTAGCCATGGATGTCTGCATCCAGATTCCTCAGTCCTTGGATGGGGTTTCTGGCACAACTATTAGGGTGTTTGGCCATCCCATCACCAGAGTAGGTCAGTCCCAGCTGTCTCTCGACCATTGCCAGCAGTCTTTTGTGGGGGTATCTTTGTGGATTTCTGTGGAGAGTCTAATTAGCGAGAAAGAGGAGGGTTTATATGAGTGAGAATTATTGAAACCAAGGTTGGATAAAGCACAGGGACAAATAGCCAAACGAATGGAAACACATGAACTATGAACCAAAGGCTGAGGGGTCCCCAACTGGACCAGGCCCTCTGAATAGGTAAGACAGTTGATTGGCTTGATCTGTTTGGGAGGCATCTAGGCAGTGGTACCAGGTCCTGTGCTCAGTGCATGAGCTGGCTGTTTGAAACCTAGGACTTATGCAGGGACACTTGGCTCAATCTGGGAGGAGGGGACTGGACCTGCCTGGACTGAGTCTACCAGGTTGATCTCAGTCCTGGGGGAGGCTTTGCCCTGGAGGAGGTGGGAAGGGGAGGGGGGCTGGGGGGAAGGGGAGGGGGGCAGGAAGGGGGAGAACAAGGGAATCTGTGGCTGTTATGTAGAACTGAATGGTATTGTAAAATAAAATAAAAAATAGAACTTTTTAAATGGAGAAGTTTGTTTTTTTTCTAACTAGACTCAAGATTCAGTTTCAAAAAATTATAAAGAAAAGGGGGAGTTAATATTCCTGTCTATTTAATTTAAAAAATATTTTTTGTTAGTTGAGTGAATTAATGTTATATTTGTATAGTTCTATTAAAATTGCTTTTGGATTTTTGCTAAAGTTTTTAAAGTATATTTTTTGCTAAAATTTTAAATTGTTAATGGTTGAGAGTATTGCTTTTGAATGTAGGTTTGTAAGAATTATAAGTGTATATAGTAATATTTATGTTAGAGTTATTATGTTAACCTGTAGATATTGATACACCATATTTGGTGAAGCTAAGGGAGTACTTAAGTTTGATGTGGGTGCATCAGAAGTTTATTCTATGTTTTGTTAGCAAGAAATTCACATGGTTCTATTAAGAGATTGTTTTAAAGTGTATTTTTGCTAAAGCTTTTAAAGTGTTAATGGTTCTATTAAGAGTTTGCTTTTAGATGTAAGTTTAAGAGAATTGTATTTATGTATATTAATATTTGTTTTAGAATTATGTTAACCTGTTAATGATGAAGCTAAGCGAGTCTTCAAGTTTGATGCAATTGCATCCATAGTTTGATTTATTTGATGCAGTTGCATAAAGTGTTTATTGATTTAAAAATGGGCTTGGTACAGCTAAGACTACATCTTAGACCAATTCCAAAAAGGATATTCCATCTTTATCATCCCTTACCTATGCTGGGATGTTTGACAAGCTATGGAGATTGCTGTGAGCTCTTAATGGGGAACCCTTTAAAATATTAAGAAAGGGGACCTGTTGGAGCCCACTGAGGTTTCCTAGGGCCTTTACCCAGCAGGACTGCATAAGAAGATGATTGGGCATGGGTCTAGGTACCAGGTGTTTGGAAGGGTCGACACTTGGTTGTATCTAGAAAGGGGAAGGTCTTTTGCCTTGCTCCTTAACACTGATATAAAAAGCTCCCTCCCTTTTGGTTTTTCAAGACAGGGGAAAAGCCCTTTTGAATAAAGGTCTGGGCTGGTAGATTTTGATCCAATCCCTCTCTAGGCTGTCCTGTGTTTCTGTCTTTCCTCTTGTCATCTAGGTATCTCTTTCTATCTAAATATTTCACACTTCTCCTGCTCAAGAAGTACCCTGGTCATAAAAGTAGGGGTTGGTCCCACACAGTGAATGGACTGTGCAAGACTCAACCCAGTAACCAAGTACTCACACTGATGTATTGTGGGTGCTTCATGATGATAAACAAGAATTCATTCTGAATATAGTATGGGGACCTGAACCAATAAGTCTACATTCATGCTGTATATACTCTGGTGCATTCATGCTGTAAGCTAATATTCATGGTGCACATATGGGAGATTCCTCATGAATGTATTGCGGCAGTCATGGTGCATGTACTTTGGGAGGCTCACATCTAAAACACAGCAGGAATGATACGTGTAATGTGCCAGTCTCTGTCTATAACTCTGCATTCTTGGTGACTGGATTTTGCAAGTTTCATTCTGATAACTATCATGCTTGATGCATATTCTATTTTGATGGTGACACCTGTAATCAGCAATGCTTGAAATTTTAGTATGAGAGGCTTATGCTTATATCACAAAAGTGACTGAGAATATCCTGTGTGAGATTCAAATCAGCAATAATTTTTCATGTACTGAGGGAGGCTCATGAAAATAATCAGCATTCATTGTATGTGTACAGTAGGCTGTGAGGTCTTATTCACTCAAACTAGGGCTAGTACCTTCTGTTTCCTGCAGATCAAGAACTCTTAGCTCCTTCTCCAGTACTATATCTTCCTGTATGCCACGATGCTTATCTCCATGATGATAATGGACTAAATCTCTGAAACTGTAAATCAGCCAAAATTAAATATTTTCCTTTATAAGAGTTGTCTTGAGCATGGTGTCTCCTCATAATAATATAAACCCAAACTAAGACAGGGTACATGTGGGGAGATAAGTTAATGTGTTTGTTAAAATTGGCATGGAAATGTCAAGGATCACAAAGTCTCAGATCCATGGAAATGGCAACGCCTTCCCCATGTTCAGGCACAGGGAAATAACAAATCCTTTGCATGGCCCATATGTTGATGTTGACTGTACAAAAGCTAATAACCACAGCTTTCTCCTAATAGATGACTGCAACCTGACTCTGCTCCAAAAAAAAGACACTCTCTAAACACACAATAAGATTAACTAACCCTACTTCCCCATTAAGCTCTATACAATATCCCCACATCCTGAATTTCAGGTGTATTAAAAAATGCTGTTTCCTTGGTTTCCAGGCTGCTACTGGTATGTCTCCATCAGAAATCATGGGACAATGCAATCCCAACTTTTCTGTATGTATCTTTCATTTCTTCATTACCTACACTCTAATTGGCAATCTGTAACCCATGTCAACAGTACATATTCACTCAGGACTTCATCCACTCCACTCAGGTACAAGGGATGCTTAGAAATTCGGAGCTATGAACTCACAGTGCCCATTTAGTGATGTCTACAGACAAAGGAAATTCCTGTGTTTCCTAAAGTGCTGGGAGCTGATGACACAGAATCAATGAAAGGGCATCAGGATTTGGGGTTTCCCCAGAACACCAATCATCCATTACCACAGTCATCAGGGTTGTGATTCAGAAGGTATAGGCAAAAGGGCCCAGATGGCAGCACCCTCAGAAGTCAGAGCCACTCACAGGGTGTTGTAGCTTGGAGATGAGGGAGCCTGTTTGCAAGGCCACTTTTGCAGGCTCTGGAGGTCTGCCCTGAGGAAAAAGGAGATGAACATTCCTGGTGTAAGGTCACAAGCAGGATGTGTATTATGGCTAGGGAACCATCTTTGGGAGAAACATGGTGGAAGCAGGCCAAAGCATATGGAGGTGAGTCCTAACAGCAGGTTAACTGGAGCTGAGATTATGTTCACATTGTCAATCAGCTGGTCAGATCATTATAACTTGTGGGAACAAGTGGAAGTCATGCAAAAACATCATGAACTTAGATTAGCAAATTATCTGCAGCTGAGACAAACCCTGAAAAGGCAGCAACCCTCCAAGTAGCTTGGGAAGCAGATAGTCCACCAAGGTCCACCTGGAGAATGCAGAGCAGGAAACCAGCCTGAGAAACAGAAAGCCAGATGCTGGCAGAGTAGTCAATGTTGGCACTAGACATTTGCTCTCTTGTTCAATGGAAGCCTGATATAAGCCTACATCTTCCAGAAATGGGACTAGTCTATTTGGAGGAAGAGGCCCAAGTGCCCCTACCTTACCCTGCTTCTGTAAAAGAGGATCTAGTGATGCAGCATGAATGTTAATATATAATCATGTCACCTAGACAGTGGGATTCTATAATTTTAAGACTGTGTTGACATGACCGCAACTCTAATACTAGCAATACAAAAGTATTTCCAAAACAGGTTTCATAAGCATTCAAAAAGAACAATCCTCACCCTCTGACATGTGAGACAGGATCATATACTCCTTTTGTTTCTTAATTGTATTGCACTTGGTTTGCTGGATGTCTACAAATCTGTCTGTTATAGTTTTCCATATGAACTGTCTACAATTGTTGTGCTCCTTAGGTTAATTAATATTTCTTTCTTTCTTTCTTTCTTTCTTTCTTTCTTTCTTTCTTTCTTTCTTTCTTTCTTTCTTTCTTTTTTTTTTTTTTTTTTTGGTTTTCCGAGACAGGGTTTCTCTGTGTAGCTTTGTGCCTTTCCTGGAACTCACTTGGTAGCCCAGGCTGGCCTCGAACTCACAGAGATCCGCCTGCCTCTGCCTCCCGAGTGCTGGGATTAAAGGCGTGAGCCACCACCGCCCGGCTAATTAATATTTCTTAAACTTTGCTGAGTACTGATAGGCTCATTTTCTTCACAATTTCAGAAATTTACTATCTATACACAAACATTTATGTTGTGAAATCCACAGGTTATAGCTATAAAGGTCTCACATTGTTTCTCTTGGTAGATTTTCACTCCAGAATCAATATTTTGATGTTGGATAACATGAATCTTCATTGTAGCATTTTGGAGGTAGGTGTTTCCTTCAGGGTCAAATTTCACATGAGTCTACACCTTTAGCACTAGGATAAGTGTTTATTAACTTCAATGTATTTATTTGGGTATTCTAGTGTGGACATTATGAGGTGCAAAGAAGCATGAATCTAATGTAACATTAGATATTTAAATCCCTTCTCTCTAACATCAATTTTCTGGTGTAAAACAGGTTTGGAGGAAGAATTAATAGGTTCAGCACATGTTGTATGATAGACTTCCTATGGAGGTGCAACACAATACACATCTACTCACCCAGAACCAAGTATCGACAGCACTGAAGTCCATCTTGTTGAATCAATGAGCTTTATTCAGGTTAGTTACAGGAATATGTGGGGAAAAGGGACTCACAGAGTTTCCATAATGTAACTAACTCCAAAGCTTCATGGGATACAGCTTAGGACAACTGGACAGCCATAGCACACTGCACACTTGCAGGCATATCCACAGGTTGAAGGACATCCTTTCTTGGTGACCTTTTGTCACCAAGTTTGTCAGAGCCTCATCTAAGCAGCATGACTTTGTTGAAGTTTCTTCATGTGAGTTAAGCAGAGAGAATTCTTTCACTTTCTAATATTTCTCAAAGTTATTTATTTTTACCCATTTACTCAGGTTCCTCTCCAGTTGAAATGTTTCAGTCTTGAGGAAATGGCTGCAAACACAAGCCATTATTTATGCCTCTATATTTTCTGTTCATTGTGCAATATTTAAAGCTAAAATAGTAAGATATTTTAAGAAAATTTCCTAGGTAGTCCAATGTTCACAATATCACTCAATATAAAATTTTTGATATTATCTAAGACTTTCATGGTTTCTCATGTTCATAATTATTATCTACAATGAAGCCTGCAGTGGTCTCTACAACAGAGCTTTGAATAAAACGTATGCTATATTATTTACTGTTGAAAATTTTCTCTCGTGTGAATTTTTTTATGTTCCCTTAGACCTGAGAGACGAGTAAAGACTTTGTCACAGTCACTACATATGTAAGGTTTTTCTCCTGTATGAATTCTCTTGTGTCTTCTAAGATGTGAACTATATGTAAAGGATTTCTCACATTCTTTACATTTATATGGTTTCTCACCTGTATGAGTGTTTTGATGTTTTTTAAGAGTTGAGACAAATGGAAATGATTTCTCACATTCATTACATTTATAAGGTTTTTGACCTGTATGTATCCTGTAATGTCTTCTAAGATTTGAGACAGATATAAAGGATTTCTCACATTCACTACATTTGTAAGGAATTTCTTCTCTATGAAATCTTTGATGGTTTCTAAGTGTTGAGATACATGTAAAAGATTTCTCACATTCACTACATTTATAAGGAATTTCTCCTGTATGAAATCTCTGATGGTTTCTGAATATTGAACCACATGTAAAAGATTTCTCACATTCACTACATTTGTAAGGTTTGTCTCCTGTGTGAATTTTTTGATGTGTTCTAAGACTTGAGCCATGTTTATATGATTTCTCACACTCATTACATTTGTATGGTTTCTCTCCTGTATGGATTCTCTGATGTTCTCTAAGAGTTGAGCCACAAGTAAAGGATTTACCACATTCTCTACATTTGTAAGGTTTTTCTCCTGTATGAAGTCTCTGATGTCTTCTAAGATGTGAGCTACATGTAAAAGATTTCTCACATTCTCTGCATTTGTAAGTTTTTTCTCCTGTGTGAATTCTTTGATGATTAATAAGACATGAGACACTGGTGAAGGAATTTATACAATCACTATATTTGTAAGGTTTCTCTCCAGTATGGGTTTTGAAATGTTTTTTAACCTGATACAACTGAGAAAAGCAATTGCCACATAGTTCACAATTGTAGGATTTTGATCCAGAATGATTTCTCTGTTGTCTATTGAGGCTCGAGTGGGTCAGCAAGCATTGTCCACATGTCCTACATTGGTGTTTTTTCTCTCTACTATGGAATCGTTTGAGTGTGAGTTTATGTTTAGAGTCGAATGATACATCATACTCTGTATTTTTGTGTTCTTTCTTTCCAGTGTGCTTTCTGTGATTTTGACTAGTGTTGGTACGTTTTCCACAGTCTTTATATTTACAAGGTTTTTCTCCACTGTTCACACTTTTATGGTTTGATAATTCAACAGAAGCATCCATGTGGTAGCCACAATCATATTCGTTGCAGTTTTCTGTAGTATCATTTGTGTTATAAAGTGTACGTTGGGATGATTCATGTACAATTTTGCCAAGTTTATTACATTTATTAGGCTTCTTTTGGATATTCACAGACTGATAGGCAATGTGCTTTGAGTCTTGATCTAAGAACTTTTCATTTTTTCTACATGTGCGATGTTTCTCAGGAAAAAGACCACAAATAGGGGTGATATTGATGCCTGAGTAAGAGATTCAATAAATGATTTCTCCATACGTTTTCTAAAACAGGTAAACTAGTAAGTCTCAAAAATAGTGAATTCAGCACAGGTCTTCTGTGCTACACTATCATTAAATGAGTTACTAATTATTAATATTCTAATTACTAAATATATTTCGATGCCTTTCCTTGCTCTGAATATTCAATTTCCTTTAAACTTTCAAGTTGTCATTAAAAACTAGAAAAGAGAGCTGGAGAGATCATTCAGTATGAAACACTGGTTGCTCTTGCAGGTAACATAGGAAAATGTAAAGTACATACCATGGAAATGTTATGTTTATTACTATAATTTCCCTATTATATTTTAGAAAGTTTACACATGTAAAAAGTAATTAAATACAAAGGAAACATAAGGAATTCACCAAGAAAGGCATTCTTACCTACAAAGACTAGATTGTTGTAATTCTCCAGCATCACATCAATGTATAAAGCCCTCCAAGAAGACTCCAGACATTCCCATTCCTGTTGGGTAAAGTCTACAACCACATCCCTGAATGTCAACAGACCCTGTAATGGAAAATTATCCATTTCCCATGTTTTTCAAGAAAAAAATGCTTTCCTAGGTAAAAGACACCCAAGAAAAGACAGTTTTGTGATATAGATGAGGCATGACAATTATTTAAAGACAAAACTTGTGTATGTTCTGCCAAGATAGTTCAGCAGTTAAGAGCACTGGCTGCTGCTCTAGAGGACACATGTTCCAGACTCAGAATCCACATTTTATCACACAGCTGATTCTAGCTCAAGTTCCATGGGATACAATGCTTTCTTCTGAACTCAACATGCAGGAGTCACACATAGCACTTATATATACATTGAGGCAAATATACCTCAAACATAAAAAGAAAGTTAATTATGAATGATTCTTTCTAGAATACTCATACTCTATATTGTTTATCCTATCTCATAAAAACAGGATGAAATATAAACTCTAGTAAACATTAAATATTTGAGGTCTACATGCAGGGATGTACCTTTATGAAGGGAATGTGGCTATGAAACAGGAAAAGGGTGTCTCATTTCAGTTGGAAACATTACAATGTGCAAACTGTACTTGCAAATGCTACAGCTGTTAACCTTCTCAAATATGGAAACTGGATTAATACCAGCTGCAGCTGGGCCTCATGTGACTCTGTTCTAAACACAAGGTGGGACAGCCTTCAGCAGCATCATTAAAGGCATTCATTTATATCTGAAAATTGATGGTTTATGAAGAGCTCCAAGTCAACAATTTCTAGAAATTTCTTATAGATATATCTCACATGATGCAATATAGATATATTCCACATACTGCAATGTACTTGGCATTGCTTACACAATGGTACTCTGTCTAAAACACAATACAAAATAAAAGAGAAAATACTGATCTGTCTATTGAGATATTAACACTGGTCATTGGAATCCAGAGGATGATATGAGCAGCAGCTTCCCTGAGTCAAATACATTTCAGGTGTCAAAAACCCCAAAGACACATCACCACATTGTGATAGCAAAGAGAGAAACAGTATACCACAATCTGCATCTTTTCACAGAAACACTGTTTTCAAGACAGAGCAAGTTACTTATTCCTTCCATCATCTATGCTGTCTATGGTACTGAACTATTTAGTATTAAGATTCAATAGAGTGAGTCTCTTCTATCTACTTCTCCATAGATTTGCTGGTGATACCAGCAAAACTATCTATGTATTTGTATGGCCATATTGGTAAGCCTGGTTCTGGGAACCTGGCACTCCCCAAAATGCAACCTGCATGGCACCTAAGACTTTCCTTCCTCACTAATGTATAAGGACACAAGTCTATCCTCTGTAGGAACTAGGCATCAATATATTTCTTTGATGATCATTTACAGTGGAATCCCTTTCAGAACTGCCCTCTTTTTAAATTTATTTATTTATTTATTTTACATCTCAACTACAGCCTCTCCTCCCTTTCCTCTTTTTCCAGTCCCCCCTCCCTCATGTCTTCCATCCTCTACTCAATCCACCCCTCTTCTGTAATCACTCAGAAAGGGCAGGCCTCCCATGCACTTCAGCAAAGGATGGCATATCACACTGCCATAAGACCAAGCACCACCCCCTGTATTCAATTTAACATGAGGACAGGTTCTCAAGAGCAGGTCCTCAAAGCACCAGGTCAGCCCCTCCTCCTGTTTACCGGAGTCCCACATGCAGACCAAGCCACACTGCTGTCACATAAATGAATAGGGTCTAGATTGGTCCCATACAGACTCCTTGGTTGATGGTTCAGGCTCTGTGAGTTCCTATGAGTCAGGCTAGTGCTTTCTGTGGGGTTTCCTGACCTTGCCCCCAGTTTCCTTACTCAGCTGTTAAAACAATGACATCATAACCACAGACAAGACTGTAAATTTATGTCCTCACAGTAATGGACAAGGGAGGATACAATGAGACACATCTATGCTATGTGGTTGTCAAGATTTAAAGATGTAATCTTTAAAGAACTGAAAAAGAAAAACAATCATGGGTAATAAGCATTTAGATAAGATTATCAGAGACAAAGAATAAAGGATTGCATGGATTCAAATTTATTCCAAATAATATGGACACAAAACTGACCTGGTGAGCATTTACTGGAGATGCAGCCATTCCCTTTGTTGCTATTCTCTGAATTTCTGTCTCGGGAGCAAAAGCGAAAACTCTTGTTGACATTCTAAATCAAGGTGTGAAAAACACAAACCTACAGTTAATATAACTGTTATGGACAATACTGAACCAGATAAAAGACCCCAATACTACAATGATACCAAAGGTCCTGTCAGCATTCCTACAAACAGGTGAGCATGGGAGTATATACTTAGAGTGCTGAAAGAAAATAACTGTATCACGACACGCAGAAACGTTGGCTCTTACAGTTCATGGAGAAGGAATTACACTTGAAGAAATGAATGACATAACACAGAACATTGACTCAGGTAGAACTGGAGGTCATATTAGAGGCAAACTATGCACAGAAAAATCACAGAGAAATTATCCATGAGAACCTAGGACATAAATTTAACATGAAGAATAGAATAGAATAGAATAGAATAGAATAGAATAGAATAGAATAATTAGAATAGAATAGAATAGAATAGAATAGAATAGAATAGAATAGAATAGAATAGAATAGAATAGAATAGAATAGAATAGAATAGAATAGAATAGAAGAATAGAGGGAAGCTGGGGAGTAATTGACTACATTAAAAAAAAAAAACTGCTGTATTTCCAAGTAGAGGGGAAAAATACAGCCAGTAATTTTGCAAAAACAAAATATATTTTCAAAAAACGAATCATACAAACAAAAATACGTGTAGGAAATACAGTCCAGCTATAAGCAAAACCAAGATTTTGTGATAAACTCCTAAAGGAACTAGGAAGAAATGGAACATAGGCATAGAGTAAAATGCACTTTTCACATCTAGGCCAACATTACAGGAAGGAGACAAAAATGAACAGCATTAGCAGGAACACAGTGAGGGAATGGAGGTGCATTTATTTAATCCAGAGCCATAAGAGCAGTGGTTCTCAACCTTCCTAATGCCGTGACCCTTTAATATATTTACTTATGTTGTGCTGCCCCCCCCAGTGAAAAAATTATTTTCCTTGCTACTTCACAACTGCAGTTTTGCTATTGTTACGAATTGTAATGTAAATATCTGTGTTTTCTGTAGGTGTGGTGGTTTGAGAGAAAATGACCCCAAAGTAGTGGCACTATTAAGAGGTGTGGCCTTGTTGGAGTAGGTGTGGTCTTACTGAAGTAAGTGTGTCAATGTGAAGGCAGGATTTGAGCTCTCATACATGCTTAAGAGACTGACCAGTGTTGCTGGAGGGCTTCTCTCCAGGTTCCCCAAGCCCTGCAGTCCCACAATCCACTTATAAAATAATCACTCAGACACTTATATCACTTATAAATTGTATGGCCGTGGCAGGCTTCTTGCTATCTGTTCTTTTATCTTAAATTAACCCATTTTTATAAATCTATACCTTGCCACGTGGCTGGTGGCTTACCAGAGTCTACATGCTGCTTGTCCTGGCGGTGGCTGCAGTGTCTCCCTCCTCAGCCTTCCGCTTCACAGAATTCTCCTCTCTCCTTGTCCCACCTACTTCCTGCCTGGCAACCTACTTCCTGCCTGGTCACTGGCCATCAGTGTTTTATTTATATAGAGCAGACTAGCAGTTATAGTTACAACTTAGTATACATAATATCTTAGGTAGAACATATTAAGTATTAGATTCAGGTTCTTTAGGATAAGACACCTTTGAATGATCTTTATAACATGCCATTTACCTATGCTCTATACTTCTCTGGATTTTAGTAT